TATGTCTAATATGAATAAAGTTAGGGGCAGATGGGAGAAGGAGAGTACTTTCTCTGCAGAATCTGCTTAGCTCATAAATTCAAAAGAAGTGCTAGGAAACTAAGAATATTGTACAGTCACTAATAAAAAATGGAATTAAAGGGGAAGTAAAGTATCTGTACTTCTTATACTATGGTTGTAACAAGTTGTTCCTGTTTGAATCACATACATTATTGCTTATTTTTATTCATTGTCACTGACAAATATATTTGAGTCGACATAATTAGGTTGGATTGCTTAAATGCTTACAGGTTGAGAAAGTAATTGTTACTTGTTTTGAAGCAAAAGACAGTTTTTGGAATTATAAGATGTTTGTCAGAAGGAGATCATGTTACTTGAAGCTCTGTATTTTAGATTGTGTAGATAGATTGACCTTGTGTTTCATATCTTAACAAATTTTGTTCACTCTGATAGACACAATGGCATTTACTTATGGCAACTTGTAGTGAAATTTCTGAAAAGAGTTAAGAGTAATTTTACTTTCTGTAACATAGTCGATCCTTTTATTTGGATTTGGCCTACTAGTAACTTTCTACCTAATAAGCAATTAAATTATTTCCTACCTGCCCAATGACTCTCAGGAGTTTAGTTAGATGGCCTGTTTCTGCCTTTTCCTAGGCCAAAAACTGGTAGGAGGCTACTTGGTGATAAGTCTAGAGTTGAGTGTGATGTGGTCGTCTGAGTCCATTTGAAAGAAGCATAACTATGATTAAGAGAAAACCATAGGTATACTACGTACTTTGCCTTTTAGTGTCTTATTATGATCGACTACAAAATAACTTATTGTGTGCAAAGTATATAATTCAGTGATTAAAATTGTAATAAAAATACAAAAAGGTAGGAATCATTTTTGTCCATGTCAGAAAGATTTAGCATAGTACAAGATTCAGCATAATTCTTCCTCTGTATATTAGTAGAATAATCTTTTTTCATATTTTATGTATTCTCACTTTAAAATAGTTTAAAATTAAAATTATAGTCAAAACATAACCATACACTTTGAAAACTATTTGTGGATGAATATTGCTTAAATGTAAGTCAGAAATGTGCCATGTTGTTAACTGTTGGCTGTGTTAAGGTAATTGTTCATTGTACTCTTTAGAAGACATGATTCCTCTTCTGCATTGTGCTGGTCCTAAGATAATGACTGATATTTCAACATCTACAAATCTGACTCCCTTCTCCCTACCTCACAACCATCCCTATTATGAAACAGTATAATCATATTTTTCTTTTATCCCAACAACATCATCTGAACTCCATTATTCCAATAAGTTCCAAGGGCATGTGTCTTCAAATTTGTATTGCATTACAAAGATCCAGATGGCTGAATTTAGGTTTAATAAACCTAAATGCTACTTTGATTTCCTTGCCATTTAAAGGTGAAAATGTACTTCCCCCTACCAGATATAAGCGTGGGATTTCAAGTCTTCCAACAAACTTAATTTAAAATCAATATTTGTCTGCTCTCTGGGTCTTCGAAAAATCTCCAAGATGGTGTTAGAGTAGAAAGCAAACATGTAAAACAAGTTCTGCAGATCAGAAAATCAGCACTGGACTGGGTCATTCAAATGAGCTGCTGTATTTCAAATGTATAAACATTTCTGATAATTAGTCATTTAGGTGTTTCTTGCCTATCTCCAATCAAAAATAATGTAAAACCACTCTAGATGATCCATTATACTTTTGACATTAAAAACCACTTTGTCTATATTTTTAGCCAAAATATGATCTCTTTTTAACAGCCCTCCATTTGATTTTAGGGACCCAGAACAAATCTCTTCCCTTCCCTTCCCTTGTAGAAAAAAATTCTGTTTTCCTCTAAACCCAAATAATGAGATTTCCCTTCTCTTTATAAACTTGATCTGAACCCCAACTCTTCTGGAGCCAATGATCCATCATTTCTTTGAATCTCTCTCTCCAAGTTTATTCTTCTCATCAAGCTATTGAACTATTTTTTTCCTAAAAAAAAAAATCCTTTACCGCATGTCTCATTATATAATTATAGTACCAGGTATGTCTTCCTTCACAATTTTCTTTTAAGAATAGACCACAATCATTATCTCCATTTCCTTACCTTCCAATTTCTCTTGAAGCACTAACATTAGGTTTCTGCCTTCCTTATTCCATTTATAGTGGTCTTTAAAAGGTAAAAAAAAAAAAAAGAAAAGAAAATCACATTCTAATACCTTGCAATTACAGTGCACCCCAAACTAAAAACTCATCATTCTTCCCCAAATGATATTTTCTAGAATCCACAAAACTGAAAAGTCTCCTTAGCTGTTCTTCCTCACCCCTCCAATCTAATCAGTCACTAAGTTCCATAGCTTACTCTTAAATTCTATTCTGTTTCTATCATTGTTGCTTCACATAATCAGTGGGCCTGGAATATATAGTCAGTGATTAATAAATGTTTAAATATATGAACTAACTTATCAAAGAAAGGCAGCTCTTAGGCCAGTTCTACCAACTACTTCTCGTGGCTGCTTATAACAAGGTTCCAGAAAGCTCCTTGATGTTCCCTTGTCAGTTCCTGGTCACTAACTTAGACCAACCCTCAGACTAAGGAGGCATTCCCCTCTCCCTTGATGACAGACTTAAACTATACATATTTGCGTGACTTAGAACTTACATGGATAGTTTTTGTTCTTCAACTGACAGTGTGGCTAGAAGACCTAGAACACCCCCAAGTGCATTCCTAGCCTATTATAATCTTATCCTCTCCTCTTCCTTCCCAACTAACTTCTCCGCTGATTCTACTCAGGCAGAAGACCAGCCAGGCCTGAGAACTTCAAATTTCCCCCAATGTTTCCAGTGGCAGTATTTGGCCTTTAGTTATTTTAAGTTTGGAGAGTTAAAAAATATCTGTATTTCTGGGCTGTTGCAAAACCCTGACATTTGCCATTGGCCATTCCCGATAAGCATGCACTTTTACTTGCATTATTTCTAGACAGCTTCTTCTGTTCTTTAAAATAGGAATAGAAGCTGAGGAGTCCCAGAGCCCTAGAGGATTGTCTTATTATTCTCATAAGAAAGGGTATAACTCAGACAGGTAATGTGCGGTTGAGAAGCTGGTGTAAACATAAATCAAAGTTCTAGAAAACTATGATCAACCCTCTACTGAATCTCCTTTTATCCCAATAGTGATTATAGCCACACTAACATCGTACCTGGTAGGTGCTGACCATTGCTCTAAAGATGCTGTATGTAACTGTTCAATCCCCTACCAAAAGGTGTGTGACATTACCATTTTTCTAATCTCATAAAAAAAAAAAAAAAAACGAGGCAAAATTATTTGTCCAGTCACATAGATTGTAAGTGACAGACCTCTGGCATGAACTCATATACTTAATTATTAATCTACACAGCCTCTCCCTGAAGACAATCAAGAGATCCTATGCCAAGTAATCCCTTCCCACACTCAGACTGGTGCCTTACATGGCCAGAGACATGTTCCTACCTTGCTTTCCGGATACATAGTACATTCCACAAAGCTTGCCACAAGTCATTGTCAGTAACATGAACAACGTGTGATGTGAGAGTACACGCCATTTCAGGAATTCCAATGTGCTGTTTGCCCAAAGACTGCTATTAGGCACCTGAGTGGCTCAGTCTGTTGAGGGTCTCTACGTTCAGCTCGGGTTGTGATGCCAGGGTTCTGGAATCGAGCCCCGCATCAGGCTCTCTGCTCAGCGGGGAGCCTGCTTTCCCCTCTCTCTCTGCCTGCCTCTCTGCCTACTTGTGATCTCTGTCAAATAAATAAATGAAATCTTAAAAAAATAAATAAAAAAATAAAAAAAAACCCCAACCTATTATTAGCGTGAGAAGAATTCAGTAACTCTCCCTTATCTGCACTTTCTCTTTCTGCAGTTTCACTTCCCAACCATCAACCGTGGTCTGCAGAAGGATGATCCTCCTTCTGACGAATCGGCAGAAAGTCAAAAGAAGCCTAACTTTACGTCAGGACGCTCCGTCATTACCTCGCTTAGGCTCGTGGAGGCGTTTTATCATCTCTCATCGCAAGGAGGGTGAGTACAGGGCAGTAAGATTTTAAGAGTGAGATCGGATTCACGTTTAACTTTTATTACAGTCTCTTATCATTGTTCTAGCTGATTATTACTTATTGTTGTTACTCTTTTACTGTGCCTAATTTATAAAATAAACATTGTCATGGGTGTGTAGGTGTAGGAAAAGCATAGTATATGTAAGGATCAACACTGTCTAGGCACCCACCAGGGGCCTTGGACTGTATCTCCCACCGAGAAGTGGGGATTGCTGTACGAGCTTGTTTCTCTTTGGTTACTATGTAGATTTATTTGGAACTAATCCCTGCAAAAATCTGGGAGATCAATGTAGGAGAACTGAGCAGAAGGAGACATCAAAACTAGAGAACAAGGGAATATCATTAGGAACTTTGGTTTTCTAACCTGAGGCCCCTACCACCTGGTAAGTTTCCAAAATCTTATCAGAAAACAGATAATGACAGTAATATTTATCCTCTTGACCATTAACTCTATGTTAAATATTCTTGCCTGTACATTATCTTTACTCACTCCCAAACCCCACAAATTAGATGTCTCATTCCCCATTTTGCAGATGTTTTCCAAGGCTGCAAGAATTTAGCATTACTCAGAATCAAAGAACTTGTGGTAGTAGAATTGAATGAAAAACTGAGTTTCTCTGGTTCCAGTGTGTGTCCTTTTTCCATTAGCCTACTTTGAATTGTCAGTCATAGGAAGGCATCTTTCTCAAGAAACGGTAGCGCAATACTTACTGTTATCACCTAGTGAGGATTCGTGGTGCAGACAGAGTCGACAAGATTCCTGTTAGCTTTATATTCCAAAGAAACTGGTTCTTTATCGCGTTTATGCCTGTACCTCTTCATATATGTATGTTTGACACACGGAAACTGGAGGATTGATCAAGCACATTTAGTAGGGTGAAGAAAGGCCTATGGATAGATCCTTTTGTAGTTCATAAACGTGATGATTGGGTGATTGGGTATTCATGGTACTGTGTGACATGTGCCTCCCTCAAACCTTGTTACCACCTCTGCACATGTGGGAAAAAGAAAGAACGAGAGAGAGAGAGAGAGAAAGAGAGAGAGAGAGAGAAAGAAATGCCTAAGGGTAACTTAAGATGAAAACTAAAATGGAGAAATAGGTTATACATAGTGAGTATATCAGTCAGGATGGGCTAGGTTATAATACAGTCACAACAACAAAAAATTAAACTCTCTGTGACCAGACAAAGCTTTGTTTCTTTGCTCACTTGAAGCCAGTAGAGGGTTCAAGTGACTGTCCAGACTGTCTGCCTTGAGTGTTGTTGTTTGACAGTCCAGTCTGCTTTGAGCTTTTGCTAACTGCTTCTCAACATGCATTTTCACAATTTCAGAGAAAGAGAGTGCTGGTGGGGCCTTGCACTGTCAACTTAAATATCTCAACACAGACATGACGCGTATCACTTCACTTCCAGCCCATTGGCTCTCTCCAATGTGCCTAGAAGGAAAAGAGAAGCAAACAGGGGTGTGTAATAGAGGCGTCTCCTACACAGAGCAAAATTTGGAAAAGAGAAAGAGAAAGAAAGAAAATAGAGAACATCGGTAGAGTATACTGTTTTATGATTGCATAATGCCTTGATAATTGTTTTTTCTATCTTGGGTTCTGAATGTTGAAAATTATTCTACAGTCTTTGAGGGCAAAAATACGTACATCTCCACGGTTAAAGTTGAAACAGTTCAGTAAATGTTAACCTGTACCCTCCATCACTCTTTGAGAAGCTGCTGCATCCCTGAAGGCTTTTTGTAGGAGGTTGAAAAGGTGGATGAATGAGAGTAAAGAGACTGACTATGACAGCAGAGCAAATAGTTTGTATTACGAAAGCAAATCACTTCTCTGATTCTTTCCTACTTTTTTTTTTTTTACCTTTGAAACGAAAAATGTTGATTCCATTTATATACTTTAAGATCATGAAGGCATGAACTCATTGCCTGTATTTATAACAGCGCCAGTCATTCTGTCCCTGCTTAGAAAATTAAAAATGATTTCACCACTTTTACCTGGAGCCCCATTTTTTTTTTCATTTTACAGTGAGAATATAGTTTTAAAGAAAATGGTTGCTAGAAATAAAAGCCTGAGGAAAGAACACGGTCCTTCAGCTCACTTGGGGGGGGCGTCCTTTTCCTCTCTGTTGTACTCCCCAGAGCTGATGTAATCTGAGTGACGTACAAATGGAATTAGCTTTCCAGTTTCATATACTTGTAACAGGTTGTTGAAGAATATAAACTTATCCAGGTAAAAATGTAAGAAACTTAAAAATTTTTTCACTAACTGGGTACCTGGGTGGCTCACTTGGTTAAGCCACTGCCTTCAGCTCAGGTCATGATCCTGGAATCCCGGGATCAAGTCCCGCATCGGGCTCCCAGCTGCACAGGGAGTCTGCTTCTCCCTCTGACCTTCTCCCCTCTCATGCTTGCACATGCTCTCTCTCTCTCTCTTTCAAATAAATAAATAAAATATTAAAAAAAATTTTTTTCACTAACATTTACTATGCTATAAATTACTTTTTCCATCTCTTACTGCATCTTTGTCAGAGTCTTTAAATTTTCCAGGCACTTTCTTTTTATTTTTTACTTTTTTAAATTTTTATTAACATATAATGTATTATTTGCCCCAGGGGTTCAGGTCTGTGAATCATCAGGCTTATACATTTCACAGCACTCACCGTAGCACATACCCTCCCCAATGTCCATAACTCAGCCACCCTGTCCCTCCCTCCCCGACCCCCCAGCAACCCTCAGTTTGTTTTGTGAGATTAAGAGCCTCTTATGGTTTGTCTCCCTCCTGATTCCATCTTGTTTCATTTTTTCCTTCCCTATCCTCCATGACCCCTCCACCCTACCTCTCAAATTCCTCATATCAGAGAGATCATGTGATAATTGTCTTTCTCTGGATTGACTTATTTCACCGAGCATAATACCCTCTAGTTCATCCACATCATTGCAAATGGCGAGATTTCATTTCTTTTGATGGCTGCATAGTATTCCATTGTAGATATATACCACATCTTCTTTATCCATTCATCTGTTGATGGACATCTAGGTTCTTTCCATAGTTTGACTATTGTGGACATTTTGCTGCTATAAACATTCGGGTGCACGTATCCCTTTGGATCACTACATTTGTATCAGGTACTTTTGTTTAATAAAATCCTGATCAAGTCTAGAGCATCAATATCTTATCTATTCAAAGCTCTTCTTCTCCAGGGATAAAGTCGAGTAACTTGGTGGTAGTGTATTCTTCTTACAGGATTCTACTCCTAAATTGTTTAAAAGTTCTGAATCTTCTGGGCTTGGGATACAGATCAAAGTGACAAATCTCTCCCCATTTGTCTGTATGAATACACAATCCTCTAATTGTTTTGGTTTTGTTTTTGTCACTTTTCTGACTGTCACTGGTTGGCTGTCTATGCTTTATGGAGAATATTCAATCTAACTCTTGATGGTTAGCCAAATACATGGATTCTTTTGAGCTTTTCCACTACAAAATTTTCCTTTGTATATGATCTAGAGTTGTCTCCATTTTTCCCCTTTAAAGCCCACAACCATTGGTCTGTCTACCTTTGTGGCTGATTGCCTTACAGCTCATCAGCGGGAATCTCTTTTAGGTGAAGTACTAGCAAGATAGCTGAAGTCCATCTACCTTCTGAATTGTCCATTCTGTTCCTAGGTGTGTTAAGTGATGATAAGAATAGGTAGTGCTCCAAAGATTTTCACATCTGAATCCCTGGAATCTATGACTATGTCATGTTACGTGACAAAGGGAAATTAAGGTTGCAGACAGAATTAACATTGCTGCTCCCAACTGACTTTAAATGAGAGATTATCCTGAATTATCCAGGGGGATCCAATAAAATCACAGAAGTCCTTAAGAATGGAAGAGGGAAGCAGAAGGCTGGGTCAGGGTGGTAAGATATGAGGACATGCCAGTTTACTAGCTATGAAGGTGGAAGAAGGAGGTTATGAGCCAGGGAATGTGGGTGACCTCTAGAAGCTGGAAGAGGCAAAGAAATAGATTTCTTCCCTGGACACTTCAGTAGAGAAGGTAGCCCTACTGACACTTTGACTGTAGTCCAGTGAGACCTGTGTCAGACTTCTGATCTACAGAACTATAAAATAGTAAATTAAAACTGTCAGTTAGTTTTAAAGCACTAAATCTGTGGTTAGGTTTTATGGCAGCTAGAAAGCTAATACACTAGACAATCCTTGTATTCTTGCCATGCCAGTGCTGCCAGCAGTTCCAAACAACTCCCTCCTCTTCTTTGAGCCCTGTGCTCACTTTCCTCAGCTCAGGTGGCAAAAGTCCAGACTAACAATTCTACAGCCCAGGTACCTGTCTAAACAAGGAACCCATTGCACGGTCCCTTCACACAGCAGTGGTCTTCTTTTTACATACAAGTTTATTCTTTTCCTAAAGCATACATAAATGGGGTAAATATTTTATAAAGCTCTTGGCCAAAAGCACAGCAGCCTCTTGCTGTCCATACCCTCAATATTTGGGGGCAACCAACTTTAATTCATTTAGCTATTCTTTTCGTAGTCATACCTCCAAGTGACATTCTTATACTGCTACTATTTGATCTTTCTGTATCTGTTGACTTCCCATAATGGAAAACTTAGCTATACTTTACCTACATGTTTGCCCACCATGCAGAACCTTTCCTTCCTCCCGTCCTCCCAAGAGGGTTAATTTATAATTTTGCCTTAATCGTTATTAAGAATTTACATTGTTATGATCATGTAAATATTCATGTAGTATACCACGATTATTTTCTTGTGTAACACTTCATAATTTCTGGAATTAAAATTGTGTTTTCTGTTTATTTTTTGATTTTCCATGTACACATTATACTTCCTCAAGTTTTTGCCAAGTAATGTAAATCCTCTTCCAATACTTTTAGACACAACAAGTGTTCTATTTTTAGTATTTTTGGAGAAAACACCACCATAAACTGATCTCCTTTAATCTGGATTGGTTGTTTCTAGGTCTTTGCGAACCATTCATCCTGGATTTCCTTTCATTATCTTCCTGAGGACTCTTAGCACCTCTGGCTTATTGCCTGATCTGTTTCCAGTGTCCACTACTGAGAAAGTGTGTTTAGGAGGCAATTTGTGAGGATTTTGTCTATCTAAAAACATCTCTACCCTTGTCTTGAATGTATTTTGTTTGGGAGTTGAATTGAAAATAATTTTGGGGGCACCTGGGTCGCTCAGTTGGTTAAGCGACTGCCTTCAGCTCAGTTCATGATCCTGGAGTCCTGGAATCGAGTTCCACATTGTGCTCCCTGATCATTGGGAAGTCTGCTTCTCCCTCTGACCCTCTCTCCTCTCATGCTCTCTCTCTCTCTCTTTCTCTCTCTCAAGTAAAGAAATAAAATCTTAAAAAAAAGAAAAAGAAAATAATTTTTGCTCCGAATCTTGAAGTAATTGCTCAATTTTCTTCCAGCCATCAACAGTGTTGATGATAGGCTCCCAAAGCCATTTTTTTTTTTTTTTTTTTTTTTTTTTGGAGTAATCTCTACACCCTATCCCCATCTCTCCCAAAATTTAGACCCTTTTTGGTCTTTCTTTCTTTTTCTCATTCTTTCTTTCTTTCCTTCTTTCTTTCTTTCTTTTCTCTCTCTCTTTCTTTTTCTCTCTCTTCCATCCTTCTTTTCCTTCTTTCTTTGCTGCTGCTTCTGCTTCTTATTCTTCTTTTTTAAATTGGAAAATAATATATCTTCTCTTGGTGTAGATCTATTTTGAGCCCATTGTCTTGGCACTCAGATCTTATAATTTACAAATGTTTATTCTTCTGTATGTAAAATATTTGAAGTATTCCTGATGATCACCTCTCTTCCATTCTTCTGAATTCTCTTTATTTGAATATTGACTCTCCTAGACTGACAGTCCACTATAGATTGAATATTTGTGTCTGCCCCAGAATTTGTATGTTATAACATAATCCCCAATGTGATGGTATTTAGAGGTAAAACCTTTGGGTGATTATTAGGTCATGATGGTTGAGCCCT